TTTTTTTTTTCAGGTAATCTGGAGCTCTCAAAAATGTTTTCCAAAGCAACACGTAATTTTCTTAAAGAAGTTGATGCTGAAGGTAACCTGATAGCAGTATCAAACTTGAATGACTCTGATAAGTTACAACTTCTAAGTCTGGTGACCAAAAAAAAGAGATTCTGGTGTTGGCAGAAACCAAAGTATCAGTTTTTATCCATCACCCTTGGAGATGTACTCACAGAAGACCAATTTCTGAGTCCAGGTATGTTTCTTTGGGTATATTCTGCAGTTAGTCCCAGAACAGAAAGGATTATTTTCTTCTAGACACATGCTGTCTTGAGTTATTATAAGGTGATATCTTACAATTAAATCTCCTGTTTCTTTGCCTACTGTCTTAAAACATATGCTTTCTTAAAGTGAACAAAATTCTGCAAGGTTGTCATCAAAAGTTATAGCTTAATCATTAAGAAACAATATTGCAGTTTTTGGTATAAAAGTAAGACTTGCCCCTTGTAGATTTTGTGGTCATTCAGTAGCAGAAGTGGGATGGATCTACCACCCAAAATTTGGCCCAGTTTTGAGGTTGATGATGCCCCATACCCATCAGGAGGCTGTGAGTTTTATTACTCACATAATAAAGTTTTCTGGGGAAAGCAGGGCAGGCCCTCAAACTGGTCCAAAAATAGAGAGAGGAGGAGGTAAGGAGGTAGAATTTCTGTGTAGCACTTTGTACAACCTAGGACTATCTGTTTATCAGAAAATGATGTTGCTCTGGCCTAAACCCATTGGATAGACTGAGCCCTTACTATGTGCTAGGCTCTGTATTACATGCTTTACATATATCAAATTATAACAGAATCCATCAGATAGGTATTACCAATTATCTCAAAATTAGACAATAAACCTGAGGTTCAGGGAGATGAATATTATCTAAGGTGTACCAGCTAGGAGTATTAGAGTAATGATTAAAATCTTGAGCTCTTAACAACTGCTCTGTGCTGCTTCCCAATGCATTTCCCAAAGTATTTGTATTTCACAAGATGTTAAAAATAAAAGGATTTGAATTGGGAGCATTCTCACAGCCTTCTTATTTTGGGTGGTGGTGACAGAGAAGATACTATTTTGTAAATTGAAAGATAATGATTTGTATTTAATTTTCATTAACACTTGTTGAGGAATGTGTTTTCTTGAGTAGAGTGAAAGAAATATAGGTGTTGGGGACAGTGAGTGGATGGAAAGAATCCTTTCTGACTCTAGGTGGATTTGAATCCCCTGTGAAGTGCCATCAGGAGCCAGGAGAGCCTTGGGTCAGGGAAATGGAAAAGGCCAAGTACGAAGTTCCTCAAGACTCCAAGTGTAGCCTTACCAAACGATGATGACTGAGACTATTTTTATGGTGGTATTTAGTTGGATAAAAAATAAGAACAGTAGGCATTTGAAGCCATGAGAAGGCTGGCAGTTTAGGTATGAGATCATCAGATATTTGTCTTTAGTGTTCAGGTAAAAACTGCAGGTCTTGAAGGCAATCTGATGGCAGTCACCAGACATGACCAAATGGGGGACATGGCAGTTCCCAGGGGATAGGCTGAAGTTGGGCTACCATGTGGGTGGTGGCATCTTCCTTAGTGTCTGAAAAGCCACAAAGGAAGACTGGGGAGTCTGAGACTCATGTGTTCCAGGATGATGTTGGAGAGAAAGGGGAAGGGCATGACCACTGACTTTATCAGGAATGTAGAAATGAAGAATTACATGATAAGGAATCAGATGACTGGATAGATGTCAGATATAAACAGATAGGTACAGGAAAAGAATTACTCAGAATAGTAATGAAGGCCAAGGGAATGTTCTCTTAAACTAGTGGGTGGGGAGGGAAGATACGCAGGGACAGCTCTGGGTGGCCAACCTGCCAGATGCTGAGGAAGGCAGGCCACTAGTGTGTCCTGGGAGGGGACCACAATTTTCTCTTTGCTTAGGTGTCAGCCTCATCTAGTCTTTACTCCAGAAGAGCACACATTTAAAATATTCTACTTCTTTACCTGGGGAGTAGTTAAATATATGTTTGCTTTAAAGTTATTTGTTAAACTCCAGAGACACTTTTTGTGGCCTTGTCTATATATGTATATACTGGAATTAAAAGATGAGAAATCAAGCTCCCAGTAGAGCCCTTGGCCACTAGTTCATTCCATGCTGTTAGACAACACCCAAGGGTGCTGGCTCCATTTTCTTTTGCACATACACAGCACGGCTGTTGGCTTTCCTGGCATTTTTGAGTGCAAGACTTATGTTTCCCATGGATCTCCACAGGATTGGAAAGGTAGGTGACCTAAGGTGGTCATATCTTCCTCAGATTCTTTTGCATGTCTCATTCACTCCAGTGGTCGTGGAGTCGGACTTTGTGAAATACGAGGGCAAGTTTGAAAACCACATGAGTGGGGCCATCGAGACAGCCCTGGGGAAAGTCAAGCTGGAGGTTGGAGGCAAAGGCTTTTTGCAGAGTCAGTCTTCATTTGGAGCCCTGAGGAAGCAGGAGGTGGACTTGCAGCAGCTCATTAGAGATTCTGTCGAGAGGTAATGAGAATTTTGTTTGGCATTTTGAATTTGGACACGCCTCACGTTGAAAGGTCATTCAGTCGGTCCTTTGTCAAAAGGGTGACAGATGGGAACTTGGCCAATCAACAACTATTATTTAATTTCCATTGTGCTGAAACTTTATGAGAGCTTATCCTTTAGTCTGCAATTTATGACTATTCTTAGCCTGAGCTAAGAGCTTGGGAAGCACTATTTTTTTAATTGGGGTATAATTGACACATCACATTATGTTAGTTTCAGATGTAGAACATAATGATGTATTTGTGTACGTTGTGAAATGATCACCACATAAGGCTAGTTAGCATCCATTCCATCACCATACATAGTTACAAATACTTTTTCTTGTGATGAGAACTTTTAAGAATTATTCTCTTAGCAACTTTCAAATGTGAGTACCATATTATTAACCATAGTCACCATGCTGTACATTACATCCCCATGACTTGTTTATAACTGTAAGTTTGTAAATTTTGACCCCATTCACCCATTTCACCTACCGTCTGCCTTCTGCCTCTGGTAACCATTAATCTGTTCTCTGCATTACGAGTTCTTTTTTCTTTTTTTAAGAATCCACATATAAGTGAGATAATACTGTATTTGTCATTCTCTGACGTATTTCACTTGGCATAATGCCTTCAAGGTCCATCCATGTTGCTGCAAATGGCAAGATTTCTTTCTTTTATGTGGCTGAACATTTTCTTTTGCACATACACAGCACGGCTGTTGGCTTTCCTGGCATTTTTGAGTGCAAGACTTATGTTTCCCATGGATCTCCACAGGATTGGAAAGGTAGGTGACCTAAGGTGGTCATATCTTCCTCAGATTCTTTTGCATGTCTCATTCACTCCAGTGGTCGTGGAGTCGGACTTTGTGAAATACGAGGGCAAGTTTGAAAACCACATGAGTGGGGCCATCGAGACAGCCCTGGGGAAAGTCAAGCTGGAGGTTGGAGGCAAAGGCTTTTTGCAGAGTCAGTCTTCATTTGGAGCCCTGAGGAAGCAGGAGGTGGACTTGCAGCAGCTCATTAGAGATTCTGTCGAGAGGTAATGAGAATTTTGTTTGGCATTTTGAATTTGGACACGCCTCACGTTGAAAGGTCATTCAGTCGGTCCTTTGTCAAAAGGGTGACAGATGGGAACTTGGCCAATCAACAACTATTATTTAATTTCCATTGTGCTGAAACTTTATGAGAGCTTATCCTTTAGTCTGCAATTTATGACTATTCTTAGCCTGAGCTAAGAGCTTGGGAAGCACTATTTTTTTAATTGGGGTATAATTGACACATCACATTATGTTAGTTTCAGATGTAGAACATAATGATGTATTTGTGTACGTTGTGAAATGATCACCACATAAGGCTAGTTAGCATCCATTCCATCACCATACATAGTTACAAATACTTTTTCTTGTGATGAGAACTTTTAAGAATTATTCTCTTAGCAACTTTCAAATGTGAGTACCATATTATTAACCGTAGTCACCATGCTGTACATTACATCCCCATGACTTGTTTATAACTGTAAGTTTGTAAATTTTGACCCCATTCACCCATTTCACCTACCGTCTGCCTTCTGCCTCTGGTAACCATTAATCTGTTCTCTGCATTACGAGTTCTTTTTTCTTTTTTTAAGAATCCACATATAAGTGAGATAATACTGTATTTGTCATTCTCTGACGTATTTCACTTGGCATAATGCCTTCAAGGTCCATCCATGTTGCTGCAAATGGCAAGATTTCTTTCTTTTATGTGGCTGAATAATATTCCATAGTACATATATTAAATTAGGTTCCTTGGCCCAGTTCCAGTGTGTGTGTGTGTGTGTGTGTGTGTGTGTGTGTGTGTGTGGAAGCTTCCCCACACCAACAAGCAATTCTCAGGCACCACCAGTGAGTCCAAGAATTCAATCCAATTCTGATACTGTATAACCCAGAGATAGCATCAAATTCCACAGATTAAGTGTTCAGTCCTACAAGACTCCCCCCACCTTTCAGATGCCAGGTGCAACCCCAGGCTGTTAGCTGCTCTTCTGATCAACTGGCTACAGATTGAAGGTTTCCATGACCCTCTCCTCAGACTTCAGATGCCAGTCACAAGTCCAGATTGTTACCTGCACTTCTGACTAACTGGCTAAAAATCGCAAGTTCACATGACCCCCTCTTTGGGTTTAATTTGCTAGAGTGCTCACAGAACTCAGAGAAACATTTTGCATACTAGATCACCAAGTTTTTATAAAAGGATATAACTTAGCAGTCAGATAGAAGACATACATGGAGCAAGATATGGTGAATGGTTGCGGAACTTCCATGCTGTCTCTGATCCTGCCACTTTTTCCAAATTTCCATGTGTTCACCAACCCAGAAATTCTTGTGAACCCTGTCTTTTTGGGTTTTTATGGAGCCTTTATTACATAATTATGATTGATTAAATCATTGACCATTGGTGATTGATTCAATTTCCAGCCCTTCCACCCTTCCCAGAGGTTTGGGTGGGAGGTACTGACAGTTCTAACCCTGTAATCACATGGTTGGGTCTCCTGGCAACCAGCCCCCATCACTACATTACCTAAAGGCTTTCCAAAGGTCATCTCACTGATATAATAAAAGACTTCTTTATCCCTCCTACAACTGGAAATTTCAAGAGTTTTAGGGGTTCTGTGCCAGGAACTGGGTCAAAGACTAAATATATTTATTATTATAAATCACAGTATCACATATATACATACCACATTTTCTTTATTCATTCATCCACTGCTGCACACTTCAGTATATCTCAGCTATTGCAAATAACACTGCAGTGACATGGAGGTGCATATATCTTTTTGAGTGTTTTCATTTTCTTTGGATAAATACCCTAAGTGGAATTTTTGAATCATATGGTAATTCTATTTTTAATTTTTTGAGGAATCTCCACACTGTTTTCCATAGTGACTATACCAATTTATATTTCCACCAACACTGCATGAGGGTTCCCTTAACTCTACATCCTCTTGTTATTTCTTTTCTTTTTGATAATAGTCATTGTAACAGGTGTGAGGTGATAGCTCATTGTGGCTTTGATTTGCAGTTCCCTAATGATGAGTGATATTGAGCATCTTTTCATGAACCTGTTGGTCACCTGTATGTCTTCTTTGGAAAGAAGTCTTAAGATCTGATGCCTATTTTTAAATTGGATTATTTGTTTTCTATTGAGTTGTAAGAGTTTTTATATATTTTGGTATTATCAGACATAGGATTTACAAATATAATCTCTAATCTAGTAGGTAGCCTTTTCATTTTGTTGCTGGTTACATTCACTTTTCAGAAGCTTTTCAGTAGGCCCACTGGTTAATTTTTAATTTTGTTGCCTTTGCCTTTGTTGTAAAATCCAAAAAATCATTTCAAAGACTAATGGGAAGGAGCTTACCACCTCTGTTTTCTTCTAGGTCTTCTGGGCTTCCTCTAGGTTTTATGGTTTTAGGTCTTATATTCAACTCTTTAGTCCATTTTGAGATTATCTTTGTGTATGGTGTATGATAGTGGTCCAGTTTCATTCTTTTGCATGTGGTTGTCCAGTTTTCCCAGCACCATTTATTGCCAAGATTGTCCTTTTCCCATTGTATATTCTTGGCTCCTTTGTTGTTAATTAATTGGCCATATGTGCATAGGTTTATTTCTGGTCTCTCTATTCTGTTCCTGTCCTGTATATGTGTGTTTTTTATGCCAACACCATACTGTTTTGATTATTATAGCTTTGTAATAGAGATTGAAATCAGGGAGTGTGATGCTACCAGTTTGGTTCTTCTTTCTCAAGATTGCTTCAGATATTTGGGGTTCTCCATACACATTTTAGGATTGTTTTCTATTTCTGTGAATAACCCCTCTGGAATTTTGATAGAGATTGTATTGAATCTGTATATTGCTTTGGGTTGTATGGACATTTTAACAATATTCTTTCAATTTATGAGCATGGAATATCTTTCCATTTATTTGTGTCATGTTCAGTTTGTTTCATCAGTGTGTTATAGTTTTCATTGTATAGGTCTTTCAACTCCTTGGTTAAATATATTGCTAGTTATTTTATTCTTTCTGATACAATTGTAAGTGGGATGGTTTTCTTAATTTCTCTTTCTGGTTGTTTGTGATTAGTGTTAGAAGTGCAACATATTTTTGTATTTTGATTTTGTATCCTGCAAGTTTACTGAATTTATTAGTTCTAACATTTTTTTTTGGTGTTTTCTTTAGGGTCTCTTATATATAATATCATGTCATAGCAAACAGTGATGGTTTTACATCTTTGTTTCTGATTTGGATTCCCATTATTTCTTTTTCTTGCCTAATTGGTCTGGCTAGGACTACCAATACTATGTTGAACAAAAGTGGAAAGAATGGGCATATTTGTCTTGTTCCTGATCTTAGAAGAAAAGCTTTCAGATTTTTACCATTCAGTATGATGGCTGTGTGTTTACCATATGTTGAAGAACATTCCCTGTATATCATGCTGAGAGTTTTTATCATGACTGGATGTTGAATTTTGTCAAATGTTTTTCTTTTTTGCAATATTGAGATATCATATGATTTTTCATTCCATTAATGTGGTGTATCACATTGAGTGATTTGTGGATGTTGAGCCATCCTTACATCGCTGGAATAAATCCCACCTGATCATGATATAAGATCCTTTTAATGTGTTTTGAATTTAGTTTGCTAATATTTTGTTGAGAATTTTTAAATCTATGTTCATCATGGATATTGGCCTGCAATTTTATTTCTTTAGAAAAGTTTTTATTGAACTATAACTGAAGTATATTAGTTTCATGTGTACAATGTAATGATTCAATATTTGTATATATTGTGAAATGATCACAATAAGTCTAGTTAACATCTGTCACCACTATACTGGCCTGTACTTTTCTTGTCGTATCCTTGTCTGGTTTTGATATCAGTGTTAACGCTGGCTTTATAAACAAGTTTGGAAGTTCCCTCCTCTTCTATTTTTTGGA